ACACTGGGCGATGGGCTACGAGATGGCGTGCAATCCGTCAGCGTGCAATTTCGGAGGTCATGACTGGGTAAAGCTCAAATTGTTGAGTACGCTTATGACAGCTCTGCGATCCCCAGAGATTCCAGCGTGTCTCATGGGTTGAGGAGATACAGCAGCGGTGAGAAGGGCATGATATAATTGTCCATAGCGGCCTTGGTACACGACGTGTCGCTAAATTTGTTGTGCGAGTGGCTTGATGATTCTTCAGCCTAAATGCTGACAAAACTTCAAAAAACCATTTCAGGGGTGCTTTAGGTTGGAACAGTTTTATACCCAAGAAGTAATTCCTTCGAGATTGGGCCAGAAACTTTCCAGAAACTTTCCAGTTCCAGAAACTGGCCTTTCTAAAAATGCAACTTTTTTTACTTATGAGAACTGCATCAAAAAGTTTACACATGTTCAAAAGTGTGCATCAGTACTCCGTTGTATCAGTAGAGTTCTACACCTTCATATATGCAACATCATTAGAACTTTGGTGCGTAAAAGGGTATCGACAGTAAATGCAGTTTGCAATTCAAATGGGTGGTGAATCACTGCAAATTTGGATCAGCAGCCATATGAGCTTTTTACTGCCAGTTCCATTTCATGCTTCCCGTAATGTTCCAACAGAGAAACTGGGTGCATAAAAGTTTATGTGTGTCACAGTTGAAAAACCTAGTTATGCAGGGACATAAATAAACACCAGCACACTGTGACATCAAGTATTGCTTGGTGTCACCAGAATATATACCTACACCTAATTCTGAATATCAAGGTAGGAAACAGTTAAAAGTACATTACACACTACTTGGACACACACTGTCATCTGGTTCAAGTGCCAACAATACTACAAATACATGCATTATGTGGAAAATTAGCAACATGGAGGGGGGGGTGGCTTGAATTTTTTACGTACTTTCGCTTGAATGAACACCAAGTTATGTGCTTTTACAAAAGTCAGAAACGAAAGGTAGCGAAAAGGATACTTGAAGTTGTTATGCGATTTTTTACTGAAGAAAATAAAGTGAAGTATGTGAACAAAAAAAGCAAGGCCAAATAGTTTTTAATATTTTTACAGCTGTCTGCTAGATCATTAGGAACATACTTTGTTAGATCAGCTCAATTAATCCCTTCACTGCTTGCCTCGGCAAGACGTACTGCACCACAATGACAAAGAAAACAATGTTTTGGATTCAAAAAGAACAGCATGCTATTCATTCGAAAGTAGATGTTACCAACATTTCGCAGAGCTCGGTACTGCTGCAGCTCTTCTGAGGCAATTTCTCCGCTTCTTAACGCAAGGCGACTCGTCTTCGGACTCTTCTAAAGACGAAAATAAGTGAAAACCCGGCGCAGAACGGTCAATAATATGCGGCAGCTCTGGCTCAACTGGGGACCGTGGCACATCAGCATCGTCTACACTCGGAACCGGAGAGCCAACGGTGAACTCTTCTAAATCCACTGCAGAAGAACGGTCGTTTTCGTCAGGCTCAATGTTGGGCAGGCCAAGCTCAGTGCTCGGCAGTTTCAAGTGAGCCCCACTGATTACCATCCTGTCACTTGTGGACTTTCTTTCCTTACATACAGCTTCCATGATGTCTTGCGAGAGAACAGTGTCTTCTTGCGACTCTTCCAAATCACTTTCGCCTTCGTTTGGCAAAACATGGGGCACAGGCACACACGTGGGCTTACCCTGGTACGGTCGACAGAGCACAACCAGTTTCTGTTTACTGACATTATCAGCGCTTTCCGTCCACTCATGGCCTTCTCGTAGGTACAAAGCGGAAAATTCACCGACGAACACTGAAATAATGCCGTTAGCTGGAATCCCGAAAGGAAATATGAGGTCGGTGCAAAATGATTCCATCTTGGAGTTAATGTAGACACAAATATTTTCGTCGGCGGGCTCCCCCCCCAGCTCGTCACGTACCTCCGTCATCGCGCCGATGACACAGCATGCAAGCCCAAGCGCTTGTCACAATCGAACAGCTCCACTGTAACCAAATAAACAGACGGAAACACGAGTGTCATAATATACACGTATTTGTAGGTTTGGATGGCGCTTGGCGCCAATACAATTGGATCGTATCATCTTGTGGCGACTTGTGCGTTGTATCAATGTTGGTAACGCTGGTTGTACTTCCTTGTATTGTTCGGATATCACGTTAAAGTATTTTTATTTTCACTATCCAACAACCTAAACAATTTTTTATAAGTCTACGCAAACGTGAAATGGTTAAAACTAAATGCGGGTTTGCTCTTTTTTTATGTGTGCATCCTTGAAAATTTAATTTAGGGGCAGGGTACATACCTATCTCAGAGGCCATGTATAATGCTTTCGATTGCAATCACGATTGCTACTGCCAGAAACAACTTGCAAGCTGCAACCTTACCGAGCAGTGTGAAAAGCGGGGAAATGAAATGACGAAACTAGACCTGTTAGGGTCATTTTCTAGGTTAAACTTGATCAGTATGGACAGATTGTCTTAAGCTTTGGATTATTCTTGTACAGAGCTGGCCAATATCAAAGACTGTGTGGGTCATGTCTTTCATTGAAGGCGTTACCGCGTTACAACCACTGATAGCTTGTATTTGAAGCTACGAGATGAAAAGGCGTTAAGTAGAGCACCAATTATGGGAGATATTTGCATAGGTCGGCACTTTGAGGGACTACTCACTCACACTCACTCACGACAATTGTTTCAGCCTTCGCACTCACGTAAATACTCACGTCTAATCACACTCATAGGCCCTCACTCACGTTCATACTCACGACTACTCACACTCATGAGTACTCACTCATGTTCATACTCACGACTACTCACACTCTTAGAGAAGCACGGACTGCTCGGCGAATTGGTAATTCATTTTCACTGAGGTGCGTGAAAAATTGAATGACAAAAGAAATTAAGACACCTGGACACAGTGCGCCGTGTCCAAGTGTCTTAATTTCTTTTGTCATTCAATTTTCCACGCACCTCAATTAAAACTCATAGTTACTCACTCACCTTCATACTCAAGCCTACTCAAGATCATAGGCCCTCACTCGCCTCCGCACTCACGCCCACTCACATTCATGAGCTCTCACTCTCTCCTAATCACACTCATGGATATATCTAACGTTCATACTAATAAATACCTACATTCATGAGTATACTCACTAATGTCAAACTCACTTCTACTCACACTCATAAGTATACACTCACGTTCATTTCACTCACACTCTATACTTTTCACACTCAAGAATACTCACTCGCGTTCATACTCACTCCTACTCACACTCATGAGTATACTCACTCATGTTCAAACTCAGTTCTACTCACAATCATAAGTATTCACTCATGTTCACACTCTCTCCTTCTCACACTCAAGAGTACTCACTCGCATTCATACTCACTCCTACTCACACTCATGAGTATACTCACGTTCATACTCGTGGATACCCACGCTTATGAGTACTCACGTTCAAACTCATTTATGCTCACACTCCTGAGTACTCACTCAAGTTCATACCTACTCATACTCACACTCAAAGTACTCACTCACGTTCATACTCACCCCTACTCAC